GTTATTGACCAAATATTTATTTTCCACCATAATTTGCAAATACATTCTTTAAAAATCAGACAATGTGATTTTCTGGATTTTTTTTTCTCATTTTGTCTCTCATAATTGAGGTATACCTAGGATGAAAATTACAGGCCTCTCTCATCTTTTTAAGTGGGAGAACTTGCACAATTGGTGGCTGACTAAATACTGTTTTGCCCCACTGTACCAGCTGCTTGTGACAGTCAGACAATGAAAACTTACAGCGGCCGCTGCCGCGAGTTAACGGGAGAATACACTCCGGTAGGCGAGCAGCACTGTAGCGGGCGGTAATGCAGCTGAACCACATTAATAAACAATGCAACACGGCACTCTGGAGAAAGGTACAAGGTTGCAGAAGTAGTTCTTTAATTTAATCTGGCTTCGTATAATTAAAAACTACCCGACGCAGTCCTCTATTGATGTTGTTGTGAGCGGTGTTGCGGAGAAAATCAGCGACGTAAAACGCTGTGTGGGTCATAAGAAGGCACGTAAACGGTTACGTCATGACGCAAACGATGTTGCAATGACGCAATAATTCACCTTTGAACCTAATTCACCTTTGAACCTGCATCTGTAACAATGAGTGGACCAAAGAAAAGAAAAGTCAACATTGAGTGCATAATGAGGAGTGGACAGCTATCTTTTTACCGATCTGCTACTGGCCCGGCCCGTCTGTCAAATTTAAAACTCATAGTGGCCCCCGAGCCAAAAAGTTTGCCCACCCCTGGTCTAACAAGTAACATGTAATGTAATGCGCTATAAATGCGGTTGCCAGGTCCACATTGGGTATACAGCGTACGCCGGCTGGTATTAAAAATCACCCAATAACCCAGCAATGTTATAATATCTTCTCTGTTATTTTCAGGCATTCAAAAGGAACAGAGGGGCACTGAGGGCATCAAGTCAGCCTCCACAAAAAAAAAGTTAATCAGTTGCCAAGTGTTGGAGTTTCTTTGTCTCTCAGTGTTTTAAAACAGCTCTGTTCATTTAAAAGTGTTTAAAAAATGTGTGTACATAGTTTTTGATCTAGTGACAAACTTAATGTTGCACTTCTGATAATTTAAATTTGGTTTCACCTGTGATGTACTGAATACACTTGACTGCACTTCAGTTAGTGTGTTCTCCCTTTCTGTTTACAACATGTTTCTTCTTTGTTCATTTAAAATAGTTTAAAATGGTGTGTACATAGTTTTTGAGCTAGCGACAAACTTAATATTGCACTTTTGATAATTGAAATTTGTACTGTATATACTTGACTGCACGTCCCATGTTTCGTCTTTCTGCTTTGATCCTTATTTTTTCTGGGCAAGCTCAAAGGGAAGGTTGTTATGGTGAGAAACTTAATTGCTGCGATGCACTTTTATAATTAAATAAATATTTTCATTTACATTTTAAATTCATGGTGTGTTGCATTCTTTGTTTATAACTGTAGATATTATGGAAAATCATGACATTTTTTGAGCTTGGGTCCCTTAGGACCACAACATTTATGTTTTGGGTCTCATGCTGAAAAAGTTTGGGAACCCCTGGTCTAGAGAAGCAATGAAGTGAAGGGCATGATGACATTTTAGTCAGATTTGAATGGGATTTTTCAGAAAATAGGATCCAGGTTGACAATGGCTTGAGTTCTTCAGTGGAAAAAGACACCCTTTGAATATCTATATGACACAACGGTAGCCTATATAGGTAATGGAAGTAAATGCCACATACAAGAAAATTCCATAAGCCTCATCCATGAAGGGCACATCATCAGATTCTCAGCCCCATCACACTGGTACAGGGATCAACCCTGCATTATGGATGAGGCTGTGTAAAAAGCTGCACTTAGCTCTGAGGACTCTTCAGATCAACATTTAGCAAAACAGGAACCAAATGAAATTCTCAGAGAAACAGTGTTAGTCTCTGATAATAAAAACATAATGTGGTTTGTATATACTATGTTACAATTGTGATTTCATTCTAAATTGTCACACATGATATCAAACTAAAGGGCAAAGTAGTGATGATAATCTTTTTGGATCGCTGTTGTCATGCATCAATCAAGTTTCAAGTACAGCATACAAACTGATTACAAATTCATGTATTCTACAGTTGTTATAGTTATAAATTATTCAGTCAGTTCTCATGTTCGCTTGTGAAGAGGGCAAATTAGCTTTTATCCAATGCTAAAGTATGCACTTCATTAGTGGAGGAAAAGACAATACATGAATAAAGTTTAATCATGTGCTTCATATCCATAGGGAAAGTGTTTCCTGGCATCATTTCATTAGGTGTGACCATTGATACTCATGATCACAGTGTCTGTAATCAGTTCCAATATCCTCCCTCTGACAGGCCTTTCCACTAACAGATGATAAGGTAAATGCTGCCTGTGCCTTCAGACGCTGACCGTCATGCATTCGCTAATGAGGTCATTCAGGAGCCACAAAGACAATAAATGGATCTGTTTGTTTGGGTGAATATTTGGGTTTGGAAGGGTTCCTGTGAAATGGATGATAGATTGGGATTATTTTTTATGCCATTCATTTCCTTCATGTGACCTATAGTCCTCCTCCATATTGATTTGTAGGAGAGGAAAGTACTGCGGCTGAAAGTAAATGAGGAGATTGCAACAGGTAATACCAGGGTGCAGAGTCAAGGGCCTTTAACACTAGAACCGCCAGAGATTTTATTATACCTAAAACCGCCACCGGGGTCAAATTGACCCGGTATTAGAATGCATTGATTTTCAAGGTAAAATGTTCTTTTATTGAACAGTGAGTTTTGATCGCACAGGGATGAAACGTATACCAATAGAATCTGTGGATACAGGGCTCGACATTATAAATGGCCCGCTGGCCCGGAAGCACTATTTAGACACCCCGGCCAGCATAACGTACTTTCAACTTGCCCGCTCGGGCCACTAAAAATATTGCTTTAAAAAAAAAATGGTCCTGTGGTATTGGTATTTTGACAAGAAATGTTGTTAAATTGTTTATAAACACTACAACATAGCGTTTTGTGAGGCGGTTGTCGTTGTTGAGCGGGAGCTCTCCCCTTCACTACAGACTGTCGCTATCAATATATCTATCTATCTATCTACCTCTCTCTCTCTCAATCTATCTCTCAATCTACAAGGAACCGCAGTAGACAAACAGTGTTGCTATAGCAACACGTCATGTTTACACGCAAAATCAATAGCGAAAAGGGGTGGGGTCAATATGACCCGCTGGGCGGAAATGGCAATTTTTGGTGCGATTTCTTCAATCTGACTTCATATTGACAATTTTTAACAACATAGGGTGCTACATAACACACTTTAAGGAAAAGTCACGGACTGGGAGACTTTAATATTTTATTGAAAAAAAGTTACACACAATAAAAAACAGCTCTGGGTCAAATTGACCCGATTGGCGGTTCTAGTGTTAAATAGTATCCTGATATGAAGGATCCTTGAAGAGCAAGTGACATGCTCTCAGGAACAAGAGGATAAGATAGGAGGAGGCAGCGGACATGTCTGGAAACAGCCAGAGAGGGAGAATAAGCAGAAAATAATTGAATTCAAACAGTGGTGTAGATTTATAGGTTGGCACATAAACCTCAACCTCTGAGTGGATGATTATTACTGTACAAACAGACAACAGAATTGTCAACCATCAGGGAACACATTTTATAATCCAACCATCGTTCGCAATAAAAGACCAAGATTCTTAAACTAAATTCAAACACCAATGCAGCAATATGATTTCTAGTATATTTTTAGAAGCTGAAGGAGACTAGTGCATTTAACAACAAAGACAACAACTATAACACATCTGTTGTGCAATATCACTTATATTCAGTGGTGCACATCACTTTTTTGCCCTGGTTCTCAAAGGAGCACCTGGAGATGTTGCATGGTGCTCATCCTTAAAATGAAATAAACCGTACCTTTTTGAGGGCGTCTTGACTTTATTTGCCAGACACACGGCACTGAACACACGTGCAGAGGTGAACACAACAAACACAAGACAACATTAGCACGACCAGTAATCCTACAAGCTGTTATCAGTACCCTCCTGACTGTTTTCCTCACTGTCAGACATGGTAGCTGATGATGTCGGCCTACTTCTTTCTCACATTACATCACATGTCAGTTGTTAGACACTTTTATCCAAAGCGACTTACATACTCAATACTGTGGACAATCCTCACAGGAGCAATTTGGGGTGAAGTGCCTTGCCCAGGGACACAACGACATGCTGACTGCAGTGGGGTTTGAACCTGTGACCCCCTGATGCACACAGGGGATAGGG